CACTAGCCTTAAGAATAATTATTTATCGCGAAAATTATTGACATTTTATAAAATACTTCATAATACTTGTAGATTTTATCGCCCTTCAGACAGTTTTAGGGTTTTTTTGAATTTTACCCATAACAATCATTTCAACAAAACGCCAGGAGAAAACCAGACAAAAATCTAGATAATCAAGATCTTTACGCTGTGACAAGTTATGACAAATTGGAGTTAATAAATCAAAGCAAGGTATAATAAATTGGTGCTTTGGCATTATCGGGGGAGGGGCAACTTACCCTTAGTATCCAAATTACTCTAATATAAATAGAGAAAATGTTCTTAAGCTACTTTTTCCTATTCTGTAGTATAAGAACCTTACAAAATGTTATGAAAAAATAAAACATCAATTTTTCGACCAAAATAACCAACAAAGGACACTTTCATCATTTATCACCGTAATTTAAATATTTAAATAGATACCTGATATAAAAGTAGCACTTCGCCTCTGGTGGCCAAATATTCTTGCCTTTCCACGGTCCGTTTCAGCCTTTTAATATGGGCAAAGAGGAGGCAGTTCATTCCGATGATAATCGCCGGCACTACAATGCATTGCCAGCGGAGGATCTGAAGTGGAAAAGGTATATTTCATACTTCAATAAGAATAATATGATTAATGAAAATAATAATAATAGTAACAAAATAATAACGATAGCAATATAAAAAATATCAAAATGTATTTAATATATGAAATCCTGCAAATTTTATTCATATTGAAAGTGCGTTCGCAATACTAGCATCTGCTTAACCCTCGTAAATGATATTTTCATGTAGCATTTTTTTTGTTATAAACCGGCTTTTTTCGTAATTTTAATTTGTATTATTTTTTCAAATAAATTGACGCTTTGAACAAAATATATTAACATTTTTCGACAATTTAAACATTTTGGAGATGTTGAAAATGGCAAAATGTTTCACCAAAAATGGGGATAATTGGAGGTTTGGAAATTTTACTAATCTCGATATAATGATCAAATCTGCTTCGAAAAGTTGTTGAAAAGTTGACGAATGAATAAAACCTGAGGAAAGCAAATAAAACTGATCGATAGTTCTAACAATCAGTAAATAAAGATAAAATTATATAAATAATAAAAAATATAGAAGAGTTAATATTAATTAATATGGCAAGAATAAAACCTGATCCATGGTTCGGCTGGCCGTCGAGATGTCCGCCGAGCAGTGCCAGTAGAATGCAAGACCTGCAAAAAGATGTCACACATTACGACAAATTGTTCGTTCTTAAAGAGAAAATGTTATGAATCATTCTTTTTTCTAGGCTCAGTTTTCAAATTTTTTTCTCGAAACTTCTATTATTTTTATTTTGATAATAAAACCAACTCTGTTTTTAGGATCCTTTTTTCGAATAGAAATAGGTGAATTGTTTTCAACTGTTATTTACTATTACTAATCGAAAAAATGACACTTTTTATAAAAATTAAAAATATGGTTTTTCGACAATCAAATCGACGATTTTCGAGCAACTTTCGAATTTTTAAAATTTTTAAATGATTTTTTTATAACTTTCTGGCCATCAAAAATTCTCTAAAAACAGTGTAAAAATAGGTTATATATTATTAGCAGATAGAAAATAAAAGGAAAAATGAGGAAGAAATGGAGGAAAAATAAAAATTAGTCCAGTACCTGTTTTTAAACCAGTCAAATCTGTTGGCAAAAATTTCGGCATTGAAACTATCAGTTTTGCAAACAAATTAGAGTTAAGTAATTCATTTTTATTAAATATAAATTATATAAAAACCTACTGTCATGACAAAACTCCTTGGTGCACTCGAAGAGACTGTGAAGGGCCGCCTGGCCGAACGGCACAATCCATAATGACGCTTGCAGGCTGGAAACGTAAAGACAATTATTATCCCCCCGTGTATTAAAATTCTATCAATGATTTTCCATATTTTTTTGTGTTAAGGACGATTGATGACCACATAACGGATATTAATTGCGGACAACGGACCTCTCGTAGGATGTTGCCTTTTTGAAAGATATTCTCGCAAAAAAGTTCGGCAAGTTTTTCATAAAGATATAGAGGCAGGTTCGCGGAGATCTTTGACGACTATATTCCCAATTTTTACAAGTTTTAACGGAATGAACTCAGCTGTCGCAATTCCAAAAAAGTACTATAAAAAAGTACTATGTGCAATCTTTACGAAAATTACAGTATGAAATGCAGATTTGGCACGGACCAATTTGAAACCTGTTTTTTAAAGCGATCGATGCCAAAATTCGAGGGTAACTAGCAGGGACCAGGGTTGGTCATGATGATCGAAAGTCCGTCCGCGTCCGTCCGCGTCCGGACGGGCCCGGACCAGGGATGCAAATTGCGGACGGACGCGGACCCCCGATCATTGTGACCAACCCTGCCAGGGACAATTAGCGCTCAGTTAATTTCTAGAATCGATTTTCTATCATACTGTAATGTGAAAAGATTGTGAAAAGCTTAGTTTTATTTCAAGGATGGAAATAGTCGCCGAAACCATTGCATAGTTATATTGCTGGCAACATTCCTCCCGGCGCATGCCGATTTTTTGAAACATCTTTTCGAAATTTGAAAATCGAATATTCGAAATTTCTTGAAACGTTCTTCGCGAGGGTGGGTAGGCTAGCATGGCCCATTGGCGGTCTGCAACTTCCGGTATTCGACCGTTAGCGGGGGGGGGGGCTTAGGAACGTTAGAAAATAACATTTATTTTTATTTGTACTTGCAAAAATTGTGCCCATAGAAAATTTCTCCAAGCCCACAACAATTGTTGACCACCGAAGTCTATACGGATGCCGGTCTGTTGAAACATCTTTTGCCAAGCAAGTTTCAAACTTTTTTGAAACTTTTTGCTGTCTGGCGGGCTAGCAAAGACCATTGGCGACCACGACTGGATTTTTATAGATGAAGATAGATTAAAAGACCGTTTTCCAGACATCCAGAAGCTTTGGCAAATTTTTCGACTCCTTTTTCGACGCCATTTGAAAGAGCGTAGTCGAATTAGTTGGGCTGTATAGTTTGGCAAGTTTTTAAAGTTTAATTTTGCGGCTTAAATTAGCCTGAAAGCTTACAAACATGAAAAATTATCTCGACGACTTAGGAATTGGCTAAACATTTGAGACAGTACTAATTTCGGACTGGGTATAGTTTTGTAATACATTGTCAAATACGAAAATGGCCGGAACATCGGGTAAATTGCGTAGTCAAAAACGCGCAAAAAGTTGATTAGATGCTAATCTTCTGATATTGAAGTGGAAAATGCGCTTTTGACGCATATACTTTTTGAAACATTTTATATAAACGCATCAGACCGTCGTCCGCTTGCTTTAATCCCGAAACATGCCACGTGAATCGGCCATCAGAAAAGAAGTATCGATTCAGCTTGGGCAGTAGAAATACCGTCAAACGATTCAGACTCATCGCCAGCACAACCATCACGTTCACCTGTAATTAGAAAACCGGAATCCAAATCACGATTTTAATTCCTTAATTATCTGGGGGCTTTTGCATTATCGGGGGGGGAGCTAATTGTTTTACGTAAGTTCATAAATGCCTAGTAGCGTCATAGTAATTATTTTGCTAGTGTTTCTAATCAAATTCAACTATATTTCAAGAGAAAAACTATCTAAAAAACCCTTAAAAATTTGAAAATTCGAAAAATGATCAAAAAATCGATACTTTTACTTTTTTCTTCAAATTAAAGCTCTTTCGTGTCGAATAGCAATAAAGAGAGAGACCTCTATTTATTTTAGAAAAATTGGATACTAAAGAAAAAAATTGGTTGCCCCTGATGCCCCCCCCTTATAATGCATAAGACCATCACTTAATTAATTTAAACTTAATTTAAATTTATTTATAAAACTTGAATTTTTACTTTTTGTATTTCCATTATCTAAATACGTTTTCGATCGTATTATTAAATTTTATATACTTAGTATTAAATTCTACCATATAGCAGACAAATTCGATGAAACAGCACAGCCGATACATCACGAATAGGTATGGTCGTGTCGCGTAGATCTGAATTAAATAAATCGACAAAAAAATTGACGATATTTAGGTGGCGTAAGCTTTTAAATTTCAAATTTTTAAATTATTTTAAAAACAGACGAAAGTAAAATGCTATTGGGCATATTAGTGAAGATTTATCGGAATTTTGAGAGCAAACCTGTCATTATTAGGAAAGAAATAGTCAAAAGACTTTACCGATTAGAAACATTGTGCCAAACACCTTACTGTTTTGAAACATATTTTTACAAATTACGGAATATTTTCCAATTTTTGATGAGGATTCTTAGATAATTAGATAGATTCTTAGATAGATATAAGATTCTTAGATAATTTTTGATGAGGATTCTTTTCTATCAAAGTCAAAGCCCGATTTTCCTTTTAAAATTTAAATTAAATCCAGAACCTGATTTTCACATTCTAAAGGGCCTGGGAAGCCAAGTGGCAATGAAACGTTGCTTATTACTTTTTATTCCTTGAGCTCACTGTCAATTACTCAATCGAAAATTTTTCAGAATACGTTTTTGCACTGAAACAAATTTTTTTCTCCCGCATGCATCAAATTGAACACGGCGGATGTAAGATGTTTTTTTTAAGAATTATCAAAGTTTTCAAATCTTTTAGGTAGTTTTCCCATCTGAAGGATATCTGAAATTTTCGAAAAAAACTATTAGAATACCTATTACTGCAATGCTAACGATTTCTAAACCAAAAGGAAAGTCTAAATAAATTGAAAATATTTAAGTGCCCTAAGACTTTCAATTGCAAATTTTTAAAGTACGTTAAAGTGAAGTGGAAGGCAAAATGCTTTTGGAGATGTTAATGACAATTTACCGGAACAACACAACCGCGTGGCTTACTATTAATATCATAGCAATCGTCAAAATACCTTACTGATTTGAAACATATTTTTTTGTATCCATGGATATTCCAAATTCTGGTTCTAATTCTTCCATTCATTAAACCATTGTTTTTTATAATCAGTCTATTTTCTGTCAATTTCAATTCCCGATTTTCCTTTAATAATTTAAATTAAATGCCAACCTGATTTTAAAATTTTAAAGGGCCTGGGAAGCCAAGTGGCAATGAGACCTTGCTTACTAATTTTCACTCCTAAGGGCCACTGGCTATTACTCAAGCCAAAATTTTCAAAAAACCTTAGTCTCGCGAAACATTTTTTTTCGGACGGATCAAATTGAAAAAGGAGGAATTGCTAATTTTTTAAGAATGACATAGTTTTTCAAGGTTTTTGGATAGTTTACCCATATAAAGGCTAGTTAAATTTTTTCGAAAAGACTTAATTAAATATACCTACTATTGTATTGCGAACGATTTCTAACCCAAATGGAAAGTCCAAATAAATTGAAATATTTAAATGCGGTAAGAGATTCAATTTTAAATTTTTAACGCACTTTAAAGTGAAAGACAAAATGCTTGTGGATATTAATGAAAAATTACCGGAGGAAAGCTCACTTGCTATTAATCTGTAACAATTGTACCAAATACCTTACCGGTTTAAAACATATGTTTAGTGCTCGGGATTTTTTATAATTTTTCGTTCTGATTTTTAGATTTACTTAAATCATTGCTTCCTAATAGTTTATTTTGCATTATATTTGAAGCCCGATCCCACTATATATAAAAAATAGTGTCTGTGTGTGTGTGTGTGTGCATTTGCATGCAACTTCCGTCCGTATGTTCCAGTCGTATCTCAATAAGGGAAGAAGTTAAGGGGGTGTATGATACGTCATTAGGTGCGTAACGCTCATGACACGACTGCACACATATCAGCTTAAGCAAAAAGTGCTATTTTCGATATTAAAATTAAGTTTTTGTGAAAATCTCGGGAACCCACTTTGTTAGGAATTAATTAGCATGCACCGGAAGTGGGGAGAGCCTATATACAGGGTGAAGGGCGAGCGCTTTTCATTTTTTTCGGGGCGGCGGCTCGAATTATGCAAAGTGTAGAATATCATGGGCCGCATAGCGGCTTTTCAACCCTGGTTTTCCTTTAATAATTTAAATATGCCAACCTGATTTTCAACTTTTAAAGGACCCGGAAGCCAAATGGCGATGCTACTGTACTTACTAAATATTACACCGAAAGTCCACTGGCTATTACTCAAGCCAAAATTTTTCAAAATACGTTTTTGCAATGAAACAAATTTCTTTTTCTCGCATGTATCAAATTGAAAAACGCGAATTTGCGAATTTTTAAGAATTTTTAAAGTTTTAGAATCTTATAAATAGTTTTTCCACTCATCGATAACGTTTTCGAAACCAATCGGAAAAGTCGTTTTTCGTAGAAAATATGCTGTAACCTACCCGTTGGCCAGTTACCGTATACGGAATGGCGACAATCGACTGGATTATGGCGCTGGCCATATTGCAAATAATCAAATGGCGGGCGAGGCGGAAGAATGACCCTTGGAAAGTGTGGTCACGCTGCAAAAAAAATATGCTTTAAGGGTTGTAGTGCATTAATTCCGTCTTGGTAGTTCAATAAATGTTCGGTTGCGTCGAAATGCGTGGAAAGCTTTTTGAAAGCTTCTTACATAAATTTCTCACTCTCGAGCTGCTTTATCGATATCAAAATAAATTTTTAGATGATTTAAGGTTATTTTCATAGAAAAATTCACTTTGTAGAAATTTTGCCGAAACCTCAAATTTTAATATTAATACATATATTATTTTAATTAATACATATATTATTTTAATACAAATTTTAATTTGTCGAAATTTTATTTTAGAAAATTTCGGTAAACTTACAACTTTGTTTGCGATAAATACATTTTGATAAAATGAGTTTCAGTAAAATGGCAATTCGACAAAACGAATTCACACAACTTTTACAAATTATCACGGTAAAGGTTTTTTACTGAATTTTCACAAGTAGATTAGCGATTGATAAAGGCATGGGTAGCGATCGAAGATTAATTAGCAAAATTTCCGATAACTCTTTGTCTGATGTCAAACATTGAGAAGAAGAGAGAGAGAAAGAGAAGAGAACGAGGCGTTTGGTAGGGTGAGAGAGAGGCAGAGAGAAAGAGTGAGAGTGAGAGTGAGAGAGAGAGTGAGAGAGAGAGAGAGAAAGAGAGAGCGTGAGAGTAAGAAACAGTCAGTGGGTGAGAGAGAGAGAGAGAGGAAATGAAAAATTAAGTCCGTAAATACGAATTTGTTATAAATGAAAGGATGTATTTTCGAAAAATCCCCTCAATTTGTAAAACATACTTTTGCGCCAATTCCCTTCAGCACGGTCCACAGCAACATATTTGCAATAATGGCTACCGTAACCCCGAGACCGTATGCCATCCCTATCATCTGCCGTTGGGTTACGGTAGCGTGCACGGCGCTCATGTAGAATTCGCCCATTTTTGAGCGGAGCACGAATTGTGACGGGAGGATGGAAATGATGTCCCTGCCATTTCCACCCGACTACCGCGCAAATCTGAAAATTGGCATCTGGAGCGTCGCGGAATTCCGTTTTTCACGTAGTTATTGTCTGGAATGTCATGAATGCCATAAAAAAAGACGGGCAATATCGGAAAATCGATTTGCGGCAAAGGTTGCTTAACGGGGGGGGAGCAGAATAACGGGGGGACAACTTGCCACGCGCGTATACGTCTATTTAAGCATACAATTGAATAGAGCATCGAGGCTTAAAATATTTAATTTAGATTTAATTCATATTTTTTATATTTAATTATATAATAAGTATATATTTAATTATTTATATATTTAATTTCAGCCCGAAATACCTTAATCTAAATATTCCTTTACTAGACCGTCGATTTTCGTTGATTAAAAATCGTTGTAAATTCTTTTGTCTGGCTCTGAAATTAGATACCTTCTTATGGTTTTTGAAGCTCTATCCGGAAGCGTTTCCAAAATAGCAGGATAATTTTTATGAATTTAAAATTTCTTTCCACCTCCCGTTATTTCCTCTCCCCCGCCGTTAAGCAACCGCTACTGAATTTCCTGGGTATGAACTCCGCATTTCTCCACGCATTATTGAGTCAAAATTTATATGAATTTCTTTATATGATTGATATTTCATTGCGATGAAACATATCTTTCGCGCGAAAACACGATTCATCTCCTGCTTTTTACTTGGCTAAAGTTGAATTTTTGCTAATTTTATTTTCTAGCCTTCCGGCTTAAATTGAAGAATGTAAAAACGTTTAATAAGAGGGTATCTTGAAACGCATTTTTTATAACGACGCCTTGTGATGCTTGACTCAGCTCGAACAAAATTGCGTTACTAACTTTGCTTTCATTTACCGTTCTTCATTTTAATTATAGTTTTTATCGATTTTAGATGCTTCTTTTCCCACACGAATAGATATGAAGACAGAAATTGTCCAGATTAAAACCTGTGAACCCAAAATAACAGGGCCGCACTCCGAAACACGTTTTTTTTTTGTTTTGGAAACCCAGCAAAATAATGAAAAACTAGAAATGAGGAGCTCGATATTATGATCAAGAAAAACCTCTATTAAACTGAAAAGTTGGGAAAGTAATAAATAACCTCACCAAAAATATTAAATATTTGTTAGTATGTAAAAAAATTGGTCGCTAGTACTCACAAAACACCTGCACCTTTATGCTAAACACGTTTTTCAAAGCTTTAGAAGTATTATAAAAAATGCCGAACTTAAAATTTTACTGTATTATTCGATAATTTTATTACATTATTAGAACCATTATAAATCTTTAACACGCACGTCGCACCCGTGAAAAATAAGACTTTGGAACTTTTCAAAATGAATTCGGGGCGCCAAACACATTTTTTCAAAGTAAGACATATAATAATAATGTTAACTGACTATTTTATTCGCTACTTTTATTACAGTATTAGTATCATTATAAACCTCTAGAGTCTCAAATCTTCCCCTTGTCCCGGCTTTTCCCGGCCATCGGTGTGCGTTCTGTGGGTGTTCCCCGCTCTTTCCCGGCCCGCCCCCCGCCTGGCCCACTCAAAGGCTGTGTGTTGGCCCCTCTCTCCCCTCCCTCGGTGCAATGATGTTTTCCAACCTTTCGTCGGAGCCCCGAGAAGATGCGATTGCACTCCGTAAGGAGAGAGTGGTATCGACGAGGAAAGGCGCAGGACGCACAAAGAGTCACTGAGCACCGCTTTTTATTTAATTAAATACCCGAATTAAACGGGTTTTTTTAATCAGGGCATACCAACACGCGTTAAATGTGACAAGCTCTTTTTCGAAGAATCCAATTTTTCCTCATATAAATAAAAGAATTGTTTCCACATTGTTTTTTATACTATTCCTAAAACTAAAAACTTTCCAATTTTATTGAAAAATACAAACAATAGAGACTTTCGTCGTGTTTCTTTCGCCGATTTCTAATTTTTTTATTAATTTTTTAATCAAAATTTGAACCAATTTCACGTTCAAGAACTGTAAAAAATTTTTAATTTACTTTCCCATGTAAAAACACCAAATACCTATGTCCTGACATTTTCTCCGCGTGAAAAATAGTAGTAGGCCAAGAAGCTAGAAAATTCGCGTCATCATACAATGATAGTTGAACATTTATCGGGCGAATGAAGATCGTATTCAACGGGAATTGTGTTATCGTAATCAATTAAATTTAATGAGGGGAGGGGGTGAAATCTGTAGACAATAACATTTCGCTATCATTACAAAGGCATTGACAATTCAAACGGAAAACGGATAAAGAGAATCAACGGGGGGGGGGGGATCCAAGGTTTTTTAACGGTTATTAAATTAGTTAGGGGCTGGCCTCGGGTAGTGACTCGTAGTTGTTGCGCAGTGGCTTTCGGGTCACCTCTGAAAAACAACGGAATAATGGAGAAAAAGGCAAAAAACGAGAAAACGAGCTTTGGCATTATCGGGGGTCCTGCTTTTTTAAAGTCCAGATATGCCTAGTAATGAAATAAGTAGTATTTGAACTATATTTTTTAGTAAATTTAACTATATTTAAAGTGGAAAAACCATCTAGAAAACGGGGAAAATGTTGAAAAATGTCAACTTTTTTCGAAAACCGGGTTTTGGAAATTTTTAATTGATCTTAATAAAAATTGTAAAGTTTACTAATAAAAAGGATAATAAAATATTATAAACACCGGCTCCATTTATATTAATAAAATTAAAATTTATGAAAAAATTATGTCTCCCCCGATAATTCAGAAGAACCAAAAACAAGTTTCAAAATCTTACCAGAATCCTTGGGAATCACGCTGAAGTCGAGGCCGGGGAACGTCAGCTCCAGGTTGGCGGGGTCCTTGTTGGGCGTCGAAAAGTGACGACCACCCGGGCACATCGTCTCGTCGTTCTGAACGCCGTCAATTAGATGCCGCCAAAAAAATAACGCACCTCGAATGCGCTGCTCGACACGCTCTTGACAGCCGTCGACGGCGGCGTGTTCTCCACTTCACTAACTCGCTTGGCACTTCGGCGACGGGTCGATGTCCGCGCTGGGGTCGTGGCGACGGTCGATTCTGAAAATGGCAGATTGACGTCAGAAGTAGAATGTGATAATACCGAATCTTCATAATGCCGATTTGCAAAATACCTAGTCTCATAATACCGAATTTTATATGGCTTAAATTGATAATGCCGAATGACCGAATCCTCAGGATGCCGAAATTTCAGTCTTTTTAAAATTCAAATTTACGGCATTTTTCGACATTATGGAATCGTCGATTATGGCATTGACATTTCAAAATTTAGACCCACGCACCAGTGTCCATTGGCTCTTCTGCTTCGACTTCAGCCGGTTGCTCTTCCTCGACGACCTCTTCTTTCACTGCAACAGCCGGAGCAGGCGGCTCCTCCTCAACATCCTCTTGCTCCGCTTCGGGCTGTGCTTGCTCGTCCTCCTCCATCTCTTCCGCCTCTTCCTCTTTGACCATCGTCTCCACGGTCGATGCTGTCGGCACGTCGTCCGTCGACTCGGCCGTGTCCATCTGCTTCTCGGCGGAACGCGACTCCGAGCGTCTCGCGGTTGACCGACGAGTTGAAGCCGGTGCCGAAGATTCCTAGAAAATTATTAATTAACGAACAAAAAAATATTTTTGAGAAAGATTTTTTTTCATTTTAATCAATTTTGAGCACCAGAAAGCCAAACATTACTTTGAACAGACTGTCAAGAGGCGTGACGAATTTATACCAAAACTACCAAATTTCTGCAATTCTTAATAATTCCAGATTTTCGATACCCCAAACCTGCACAAAAGCTAAATGGAATGGTCTGTATGCGAGACCTATAGAGCCGGGGCCAAAGTCAGAGGCCCCCCGCCAACAGTCCAATACCAAAATCGCGTTAAGCCTACAACGCACCTGTGTCGATTCGGCGGCTCGAGCTGCCGGGCTTGAAGAAGTCGTCGCCTCGGCCGGCTCGACCTTGACGGCGGGAGGCGAAGTTTCAACCTCCATCGGCTCGGCCTGGAAAAGAAGAATGGAAATTAATTGCGGGAATGTAGTACCGTATCGGCATCAACCGGCGCGGGATTCTCGTTGGCGGTCGAAGCGGTCGCCGCTGCATCCGCATCCATGGCCGAATCGTCGTCGTCGCTGAGCGGGATGGCCAGCGGGATTGCTAAACATGAATTGTTAACAATAACAATAAGCAAAATTTATTGTTGCCAACCAGCTATCCCCCAATCGCCTAAAATTAAAAAAAAGACACTGAGGTTCTTTGGCATTATCGAGCGGAGGACGGGCGGGGTTTTGTATTAGTTCAGCAATGCCTATTCCAGCAATAGTAAATATTTAATAGTGTTTTGAGCAAAATTCAACCAAATTTCAAGTGAAAACTATCAAAACTTAAAAAATTCGAATTTCTGAACTAAATCCATACTTTTGGTTTTTGGAAGGTTTTGCCCTCCCCATAATGCCAAAGAACCAATATCCACAAAACACTCACGGGGTCCATTCTCGGAAGGCGCCTCGCTTGCCCGGCGCAGCAGCGCCAACCCATCGGCCCCGATCGTCTCCGCCTGGCCGTCGTAGGCGTACGTCGTCTCGTTCTGCGCCATCCGACTGCGCGGTCTTATCTTTGGCGTCTTCGGCTTCTTGGCCGACTTGAGCAGCCCATCGCTAGGCCGTTGGATCTCTTCGAGCAGTACGCGCAACTCCTCGGCGTTGTCGCGTTCCTTGTCGTGTTTGCGGAGTGCCATCTCGCGCTTCACGAATCCGTCATCGTCGCGGATCGCGTGCAGGATGTGGCGGGCTCGGTTGGGGTGCAGGGCGCGCAGCATGTCCTCCAGATGTTCGAGGTGATCCTTGCACAGCATCCTGGAAAAAGTATGTAAAACACAAACCTTTTAATATTTTCAATTAATTTTTAACGGTAGTCAAGAAAGGTCTCAAAAACGCCATCACTGCCAATTT